TGCTATGAGTCGCAAACGACTCGACGGCACATAACAACAACAACAACAACAACTACTACTATTACTATTACTCTGGTGGCCTGTGGCAAGAAGATATGCTGCAATCCTGAAGGCACGCAGTTTGAGGCCACCAGGTGCTCTGAAGGAGAAGGATAAACAGTCTCCTTCCATGCCATTAACTGACTCTGAAAACCTGCCAGAGGGTCAGTTATGGGTCAGTTCTGCCTCCTTGTCTCTTTCATCTCATCCCTGTGTTTCTTTATGAAGGCTTCAGCCTATACTTTAGAGCTTCCAACACTGAAGTCAGCTCTTCCCAGAAACACTCTTTACTGCCTTGGCCTTAAATACCATTTTCTCCTCTATCTCTTTAGCTGCGTACAATTCTTTTACCTGTGTAAGAACGGTGAACTAGGGCACTGATTGCAAGATAATGATACCATGAACTAAACATCATGGATTTTTTTGGTGGAGTTGATTTTTTTTAAAACATTTTATTTTAAATGTGATTTTAATGAAAGTTTACAGAAAAGTTGGCTTTTCACTCATTCTCACTGTTTCACATTTTCCTCCCTCATGCCCATTCCCTCCTCTTCCCCTAGTCCTCTTCGCAATGTACCTCTTATTATGGATAGTTATTTTACATATAATGCTTAATCATATACTCCTTTTAAACAATTTTCTCCCTCATATGTTCCAATAAAGTGCTCACTATCTAGCCACTATTTTCCTATTCTCCTCTCAACCCCCCATGTCATTCCTCCTTCGTAACAGTGGTGTTATGCAGTGTATGTCCTTTAGAGACTGAGATATTACTTGGCATAATGTTCCCCAGGGTCATTCATGTTGTGTAATGTTTTAGATCACTATTTTTCCTAAGTTCATGGAGGTCAGACACTGTCACTCCTGCACCCATGTCATTATTATAACTCTAGACTTTTGAGAGCCACGGGGCATAGACATACCCTTGTAATTACTGAACTAAGATAATCTTTAAGCAAAAAAAAAAAAAACAAACAACAAACCCACAAAAAACCTCTGAAGTCTTAAAATAAAACAATAGTTTAGCTCAACTAGCAAAAAATGTTTGCCTTGAGCATTACGTTCCATTAAGCACTGTTTACATAGGATCAAATTGACAAATTAGATGAGAACCTTAGGAGACAGTGAGCTTATGTTAATGGGGGAGAAACCACTCAGAAAAGGAAGATGAACATGATTGTGGAATTCTAGGAATTAATCAATGTCACTGGATTATACATGTAGAAACAGCTGAATTGGTTTATATTTTGTGCATATGTTCTCAAAACAACAAGATAATTTTTTATAAAAAAAATCAGCAATAACCTAAGAGTTCTGAAGATAAAGTAATTTTGAACTCAGGCAGCCAGTTAAGATTTTCAAGTGTGAAGGCAACAGATAACATTATGATGTATGTATGGGAATAAATAAATAATACACCATCAATGAATCCTCTTTGAATGAAAATTTTAGGAACACAGAATGTTTAACAAATATTTTAGGAATAGTGAAACAAGACCCTTTCTTATAGTCTACAAAAATTACCTTTTGTAGGAAGAGGACAATCCTAACGAGCATCTGCGCACGGAGTTCTTCCAAGGTAAACAATGTTCGGGGAGTTCGGATGAAAATTTTGCTCTTCCCATAAGCTACGTCATCCTGGAACCTACAATGCTCAATCAGCTTCTTGACAGCCTCTTTGTCTGAAGGAAGGTCATGGTTGGGCCAGGTGAATTCAGAGATCATCTTGTACCTGGGTGAAAAATAGAACGGGACATTTTAGTTCCTCCTCTAACTTGAAAGGTATTAATTTGATTGTGAGGGAATGTACTGTTGAAGGTTGTACACTCAGCATCTAACTGTCTGAGTTTAAATATGATTCCATAATTTCTTAGCTATAACTTGGAGTAAGTAACTAAATCTTCCTGTGCCTCAGTTTCCTCACCTGGCAAGATGGAGATAACTACTCATCTTACATATTTGTAAGCTTCAGTGACTCCAAAATGCTTCTAACAGAGTGCTTAAAAACAGCAGACCAATCTTTTCACAAATGTTAGCAGCCATCATTACTCTCTTGAAATGTTCAGCATATACATATTTCTCCTTCTGCTTAATCATCATCGATATCCTTCCCATAAACAGGAAAAAAATCCTTACTTCTTTCCATTTCCTGTTTTCATTTTCAGTTCCAGATTATGAATAGGGATTTCTTCCCTCCCCCTTGCAATTCCTATCTGTTGAGATTTTACAAATAATTTTACTGATTTACTTGCATAACATTGCCTTTACATTTCATGCTGCCTGGATGTACTCATTCTTTCTTTTGCTAAAGTTCATCCCAAAGATTGTTTTTCAGAGATTATCTCTGAATAGTAAGCTTTCTGAGCCCTTCTTAGCCAGAAAACGTTATTTCACTCCCTCTGCAATAATTCGTCAGGAACAAAATTCTAGGCTTGATGCTTATTTCCTTTCACTTTGAACATATTGCTCCAATATCTATTTTCTGGTATTCTTAGTTAATGTTTATCTGACAGCAGCAAAGACAGACCTCATTTCATGTCTTCTTTGGAATCCAACTTGAAATCTCATTTCCTAGTAGGTAATTTTTTTTTCTTGAGAGATGTATGTATTTTTCTTTATCTCTATGGTATAAGTTAACATAATGGATTTCAGTTTGGCTTTATAATTTTTTAAAATATGCTTTACATTCTAACATGGTATAAGTTAACATAATGGATTTCATTTGGCTTTAGAATTTTTTTTATATGCTTTACATTCAGTGTACTCTTTCACCCTGAAGATTTAGGTCTTCTTTCACATTAGGACAAGTCCTGGCCATTGTTTAAACAGTGCTTCTTTATTCCTTTTTCTTCTAGTATTCTTTCCTTCTGCCTGGATGAATTTTGGGACTCCTGTTCAATTTTACAAGGTGCTTAATTTCCCCCCTCTCTTTTTCTTTCTAATGGTATCTGGAAGAACTCTTTAGCTTGATATTTTAGTCTACTAATTTGCATTTTTTAAAAAATTAGAATTGTACATGTATATAGAATGAAATGTACAAATTTCACTATTATTATCTGTGAAGTCAACATCTCAATCAAGATCCAGTATGTCTCATTTCAGAAAGATCCTCTACACGCTTTTCAATTTAATTCTCTTCACCCAAAACTCCTATAGGATTTTTTTTTACCATCAATTAGTTTTGCTTGTTCCTGAACTTTAAATAAATGGCAGCATAAAGTATATACTCTTTTGTGACTATCATTTTTTCAACATAATGTTTAGGTATTCCCCTATGTTATTTGGTGTAGTAAGCAGTCTGATCTTTTCAATGTTGATTTGAAAGCTGAAACTCGCTGCAGTTGAGTCAGTTCTGACACACAAGGATCTTCCAATGAGTTTTGCAGTCTATGATTCTTAATGGGAGAAACGACCCATCTTTTCCACTTGGTGGTGGATTTGAACCACTGGAGCAGTGTAACTCACTACTGATTATGCCCCCAGGACTCCCTTTGTGTTGACTAACAAGAAAAAAGGAATGTACTATAATATACTTTACCCACTCTTCTATTGACAGATAATGAATTCTTTTTGTCCTTCCTTTAGATAATTCCTTAGTTACTTCCAATCTGCTTACAATTTCTAAACCAATTTGAATTGGTTCTTTTAAATAATTACCTTTTCTTGCTTCTAAATTCTTATTGCTATTTTAGGATTATAATGTCCTCATTTACCTCTCTGAAAATACAAAATAGGTTTATGATAATGCCCCTTATTCTTTGGGGATAAAGTTTTTCAGTTGTTGAGCTCACTTTTCCTCATAGTTTTGGTCTTTCTCCTTTGTTTAGTATCTTGGAACAAGTACAGCTGCAATGTCCCTTTGATGTTAGGAATGCAAGACTGACTTATACAGTTTGAGTATGTTATCAGGAGGGAACCCTGAAGGAGTCAGCAAAAAAGAAGAAAACCCTCAACAAGATGGACTGAAACAGTATTTGTAACAATGAGGTTAAGCACAATATTGATAGTGAGGGACGTTGAGGGCTGGGCATTGTTTTGTTGTTTTGTACTAAGAGTTTCTATGAATTATAATTGATTTACTCTGTGCCAGGAAATTTGGAAGACCTGACCAAGTGACTGGAAGAGATCTGTATTTGTTCTCATTCCAAAGAAAAGTGATCCTCCAGAATGTGGAAATTATTGAACATTTGCATCAGTATCATACACAAGCAGAATATTGCTGAAGATCATCCAAAACTGGCTAGAACAGTACATTGATAGAGAACTGTCAAAAGTTCAAGTTGGCTTTAGAAGAGGCTGTGGTATCACGGATATTATTGCTGATGTCAGATGGATTCTGGCTGAAAAAAGAGAACATCAGAAGAATGTCTATTTGTGTTTTACTGACTATGCAAAAGCACTTGACTGTGTGGAGCACAACACACCATGGCTAACACTGAAGGAATAGGAATCCCAGACCACTTAATTATATTTATATGAAACCTATACTTACGGGACAGTACTTGGAGAAGGACACATGCTTGGAAGGGTGGAGGGCCAGCACAGGAGAGGAAGACTCCAGCTGAGATGGACTGATACAGTAACTGGGATGACTGGGGTAGGTGTGATGGAGACAGCGAGATTAGCTCAGGACAGGGATGAGAGCTATTGTGTGTACATAGGGTCACTATAAGTTGCAGGCAACTTGATGGCACATAACAACAACAACAACAACAACAACAAAATACCTAGACCAAGAAGCTGTTGCGTGAACAGAACAAGGGAACACTGCATGGTTTAAAATCAAGAAAGGTATACATCAGGGCTGTTATCTTCCTTCCATATTTGTTCAGTGTGTATGCTGAGCAAATGAAGGAAGCTGAACTTTTTGAAGAACATGGTATCAGGAAAACTCATTAACAACCTTTGTTATGCAAATGACACTACCATGCTTGATATAACTGAGAAAAACTTGAAATATTTGTGGTAGAATATCAAAGACTACAGCCTTTTATATGGATTACATCTCACCACCAAGAGAACAAAGATCCCCACCACTGAGCCAATAAGCAACATCATGATAGATGGAGAAGTTGTCAATGATTTCATCTTGCTTGCATCCACAATCAGCACCAATGATACCAGCAGTCAAGCAGAAAATATAGTGCACTTGGAAAGTCTGTTGTCCAGGACCTCTCCAAAGTAGTGAAGAGCAATGATGTCAGCTTAAAGACTAAGGTGTGCCTGATTCAAGCCAAGGTCTTGACAATCACCTGCTACGCATCTGAGAGCTGGACAATGAACAAAGATGACAGAAGAAAGATCAATGCCTTGAATTATGGAGTTGGAGAAGAGTGTTGAATATCCCATGGACTGCCAAAAGAGCAGACATATAACTTGTAAAAAGTGCGCCAGAATGTTCCTTGGAGGCAAGAATGGTGAAGCTTCATTTCACGTACTTTGGACATATTGTTAGGAGAGGTTATTCTTTGGAAAATGACATCATACTTCGAAGGCTGGAGGGTCAGTGAAAGAGAGGAAGATTCTTAATGAGATGGATTGTCACAGTAACTTTAAGGATGGTACAGGATAGGATAGGGTTTAGATCTCTTGTTCACAGGGTCAGTAGAGGTCATTCATACTTGATGGCACTTTACAATAACAATTCTTGTATGCTGTTGAGTCATTACCAACTTACAACTGACCTTCCAGATGGTTTTCAGAATCAGTAAATTGCATGGAAGGAGACTATCTTTTTCTCACAGAGCAGGTGGTCGATTTGAACCACATGCCTTTGGGATTGTAGCACAGTTTCTTAGCACTAACCCACCAGAGCAACAATAATAGATATTTGTTCTCTTGTCTTCTGTAGTATTCTTCTGAATACATCTTCGTATTTGGTGGCCTCTTTCAAGGTGGCTACTTCCCCTGCCTTTATTGTGTCTACAGAATTTTCCTTGGCAGCTGCTGAGGTGGTGACTTGTCCTGGTCATTTTAACGGCTCTCTGCTGTCACAGCAGCAGCGGGCTCCAGGACAGGAGTCAGGAAGGCTTCTGAATGTAGCACAAGCCTCACAAGCAACACTTTGCTCACCACTGTGACTGCGGTTTCCTTCCGGTCTTCATACTCCTATATTTAGCAGTGACATCTTCAAAGTTCATGGAGAATCCTCTTTCCTGATGCTATAATAAGGTTGTGCATTTGCTTGCCTTTAAATAGACACATTTTCTTTCATTTGAGCTCTATACATGAAAGGAGAGATTTAAGCTGGTATCATTAAGACCATAGCATCTTTGTTCTAAGAACAAAGACAAGAACGTAAAAATTCATGTTACGTTTAATCTTAATACATAAGTATTCCTGCCATATGATAATTCCTATAGTACATCTTCCATGCCAAAAGAGAAATATAGCAAAAATCTACTGAGTTGAAAGTAAAATATAATCAATTTTGCATTAGCAAATGCTGTCCTTCTCCAAATCAGGCTTGTTATTCTTCTTATTTCAACTGTTCCTCATGGCTGCCATTTTTTCCCTCAAGATAAAATATTGTCAGTTGAGTCATTCTGTATTTACCCATTCTTATCTTGCTTCTACTACTATTTAAACTACTACTGGTTTTCTCCAGGTGCTACCACAATAACACATTCTTACGATTCAGCAATTGTTAGAATCAATTCCCTGGCATATAACAACAGATTAAAAATCTTCCCCATCATATAATTCAACCTTGTCAAGACTCAGAACAAACAC